CATGTGCGTCATCTTTTTCTCTTGTAGTTTCTGCTCATTGTAGGCGTCAGGTCCTCCTACAAACAGCTGGCACTAGACTTCTTTGAACCAGCTCCTGCATTCTGCCGCTCGCTGGGACACTTGACATGGCATCTTTTTATTTTCCAGAACGTATGAAAACACTGGAAAATTCCAGGAGGCTTGTAAGCAGCAGTGAGCTGTCCCTGCCTCGCTGTGCTCCGACTTGGCACGGCATGAAAGGCTTGCCTGTCAGGAGTCGTTTGACCGGGTTTTCCACTTTGATTGGCCGAGGATACATGGCTGTTCATATGCTGCACTTTGCTGCCTGTGGGCTGGGCGAGCTTAGCAAAATATGTTATATGACTCAACGGCTGTGAGAATGTAAATACAGATCATCTTCCTTCTGATTTCTGAGAACATCCCCTCCAGGTTACATTTAAGTGTGGACGCGATTCTCTGGAACAAAGCTCGAGACTTTCAGCAGAAAACTGATGATCTTTATAAAATCAGTTCTGGTTTGGCGGAATCCCAAAGTGGAGCTCCTGTGGTCAGGAGCAGCCGTTTGTTCTGTACTGGAGACTTTGAGTTGTCTGTGACGGACTTCCAACGTGTTTCAGTGTTGTTTTGGCCAAAGGCCAACTTGAAATTGTGGGACTGTACCTTTAAGACATAATGTGTTGCTAAGTAACTATGGGAGTGACGTCACTAGACGGCGCCTTGTTTTTTACTTGGAGCTAGCTTGAGCGGCGTCTGGACGGACGTCTCAACTCAACAGTGAAGTGAGGGTTCATGTGGACGCCACGTTGCTGCTTCTGTTTATGTCAGCTGATCATAAGCATGGGGTGGTTGATCACACACACACACACACACACACACACACACACACACACACACACACACAACACACACACACACCACACACACACACACACACACACACACACACACACACACACCACACACACACACACACACACACACACACACACACACTTCCTGGCTCATTTAAAGGTTTATATTAGGTTGCATTGTCTCTCTGCACCTCAGATACAAACAGGTATTCTCTGAGTCCTCTCTCAGTGTGACAGCAACATGTTCAGGCTCCAGCTGGATTCAAAGCCAGTGAGAATAGCGTAGAGAAAGCTGACCTGGTGGGGGAGAAGTGGCACATGCAGAGCTTGATTCTTAAGTAGTATAGACTGGGCTTTACAGTTAGCACCCATAGATATCTAATTCCAAACATTCAACAGTCGGTCCCTATCGGTGTTTGTAATTCCACCTTGTCCTCATGAACCTCTACAGTATGTGAGTGAGTGAAGTCCTGTCCCTGCTGCTGCAGGATTCAGAGCAGCACCCGGCTCTGATTGATCAACAATAGGTGAGTGAAGGTGCAGCGAGGAGAGTGGAGATTATGAAAGTGGGATGATGACAGATATGTACCACTGAGACGGTGAGGTCATCTAAGGTGTGTGTTTGTGTACATGCGGGGGTGTGTAGGGTAAGGGGGCTTGCAGGGTGACTTGTTTCCTGGCCGGGGGGGAAAAGCAGCCGATCTGTCAGTGTGTAGGAGGGGAAAGCCCTGTGCCCCGCCTGCCCGGGACCTCCGGAGGGTCAGTGAGTTCAACAGGATGGGACCTCGGACTCTAAACACTACCTAGTGTTTTCTCACTGAAAAACTCTTTATATGATCTCTACCACAAATTAAATGCAGACTCAGAATATTCTCTTTCATAGTTTTTTTGTTGAAAAATTTGATTTTCAGCCCGTGGTTTGATCGAGGATTCAATAAGAAGGTGTCGAAAGAAGGTGATGAAAACTGTCACAGTTTGACTCTTCATAATGTGAGAGGAACAGGGGTTAAAATGCACAAAGTACATAAAAAAAATAAAAAAAAAATAAAATAAAATATGCTCTTATCTGATAGATCTTAAAGATGCATTTTCATTCGTTGCGTAATGATAATATTTCTGTTATTAGTTGTCATGGTGATGGATGGTGGCGTTAGCATAAGGAGTGTAATATTGTGTGTCAGCGTCAGATAAGTCATCTCACTGTAAATACATGAACTCCACTCCATGATGAGGACAAGCTGCTCGTGGGCGTTAAAGTTTAGAAACTTTGAGCTGAGAACCACCGACTTTAAACCACAAGCATGAAGTTGCTCTGCAGCTTACGCACAAACCTGTCATGATCTCCCCACTGAACAGTTAGACGCTGAGGCGGCCCCGTGATGTACAGTTCATGGGTCTGCTTGTGTGTGCACCCTGAGCGGTTCCATTTAAGTGCAGGGTTGTTAAGGTTTTCATCTGAGGAGGATATTCTGTGTTTCACATGCAGAGCAAATCATGAAAGGAGCTGGAGGCCTTCACATGTTGCTCTGTGTGTACATGTAAACACACACACACACACACACACACGTGTCGCAAGAGTCCCACTTTTAAAAAGGAAGACCTCCAGAATTTCAGCTAAAAAGACGTTCTGTCTCTCTCTATGTTCACTGTGCAGTGTAGAAATAGAGTCACGTCTGCGGCTGCGCTGTGATTGCCATCAGAGCAGTTTGAATTGGAGCCCTTATCTCTCCCTGGCAGGAGCTCGTTCTTAAGAACAGTGGATGAACCGGGGCCCGGGTATCAGGCCTGCAGGGGGACAAACACTGCTGCCTCTGTTATGCTTTGCTTAACAACCCCATTAGCATGGTGCTGAGGTTCACCACATCCTGGTTAGCTCTGCCCAACCTGCTGCACTCTTCTCTTGATTCTTCATAACAACACTGCGACACAGCAAGATCTGAGAAACCTGGAAGTCACAAAGTAGCACAACACAGAGCGACGACCTGGAGGTCAGCGGCGTTTGAGGCTTGAATGGATGCATTGTTTTAAAGAAGCTCCAGGAGACAACTTCTGTTAGGACCTGACCTCTAATGCATCACAACACATCGTTTAGACTTCAAGAGTTTTATAAGGACTTTAAACTCAAAGTGTAAATGTGAGCGAGAGAAATCTTCCGACTCATTAGATCTAATTTTTGGGATTTGCTAAACTGCAAGGAAAGAAAAACATGGTGGAAATCATCATCATTTCATTTTACAGCTACGGTCACTTTATTTATCTCATTTTTACTTTACAGTTATATTGTATATATTAGTTCTGTTGTTCCATTATTCACCATGCACCTTAATAACTTATCATTTAGTCTTGCCTACTTGCACATAGCTCTGTATATACATATTTATTTCTCATTTACTGCACATAGTTCTGGTTACATCTGTCATGTCTACTCTTTTATATTTTGTATTTTTAAGTTATATTTAAGCTTTAAGTTGTATTTAATTGACACTTTCTATTTAGGTTAAAATGTTTTGTTTACTTGCACTGTTGTTAATTTACTGCTCTGTGTGCCTTTGCCCCCTGGAGACAAATAAAGTTTTTTGAATTGACTGTGTGCTCGTCCTGTCTTCTAATAAGAAGATACGAGTGTAAGATACGAGTGTAGTAACTCTTGAGTAATGAGATAGAATGAGAGGACATAGTTTAGACACATAGCCAACAGGATGATAAGAAAGAAGAAAAAAAAAATGGAGAAAGGTAACGAGGAAGAATGTTTGTAAGGTCTGGGAGACATTTTTAGCACGCTGTCGCCCCAGAAAAGGCCGACAGTTGTTCCACTCAGCTGTCTGCAGGGCACATTCACTGTGGAGGGAGGGCTGCTTTTAGAGATCATGCCTGATCATGCCCTTTAGGAAACACACACACACAAAGGGAGAAGGAGAGAGGAAGAGGCATTATGATATAACTGCAGGCACACTTTGATTAACATGGACACGTTCGGGTCAGCAAGTTGTTTCTGTGACGTCAGAAAGCAGAAACACACACACGTCATGTATGTGTGTCCGCCTGCTGTTTACAAGCCGCTCTGAGCTCCATTCCCACATGATGTAGTCATATTAACACTCAGAGCTCTACGTTTGTCTTCTCACGCCTCCCAAACATTTTCAGCAGAACTCTTGAGTAATGGCAAACAGGAAGTGATGACCGAGGTCAGCACAGATTCTCAGCAAGTGATCGTGTTTCTCTCTTTGTGTAAAAGTCACATTCAACAAATGCTTCCTTATAAACATTTTTTATATTTACAACTAAGAGGAGCAGTATGTAACTCTGACCCCTAGTGTTTAAAATGGGTACTGCAGTCTAAATTCTAAACATTATAGAGAGCTGTCTCTCCCCCCCTCCTCCTCTCTATATTCGATGCTCACACAGGTCACCATGTGGTGGACTCTGAAGCTTCAGTGTTTATCCAGCTCTGCATGGGTCTGTAAACCTTTCTGTGTTCTAACCTCTCTCCATTTTTCAAAAGCATCTCCAATATTGATCCTAGTTTGAGCACGTTTCTGCTCGTGGAGCTTATTAGAAACATGCAGAGGCTTTTTAGGTCGGGTACAATCACTTCTATCTGAACCACTTCTCTTGACCGCTTCCATCGCTGCAACACCTGTTGACCTGATAACTGCTCTCATATCTGACAAACCGAGGGGTGTCCAAAACGCCCGTGTGGGGGGGGTGTCTTAAAAGCGTCTACCTTCTCTGGTCCAAACAAATCCAGAGCACTCAGGAGCAGAAAAAGAGTTCGTTAAAGAGCATGGCATGCTAATGGCTCGGAAAGGATATGAATAGAGGAGCGACTGGAAGGCAGCCATGCTTGAAATGACACACACACACACACACACACACACACACACACACACACACACACACACACACACACACACACACACACAAGTACTCTCATTATGAATGCCCCATGCTTTTTATATTTCTTGTTGCCTCACACATCTGTGTGTGATTAGATTTTGTTTGGGCTACGTGTGTAAGAGCGCAGCGTTGACTCAAACCTTTATCGTCTGTGCTTTATTCCCATCCTCCTCTGTGCTTCCTTTCTATGACATGAGGCTTGTAGATGCATGTGTTGGTACTGTTTCTGTTTAAGCTGCACAGCGTTAATATTTCTCCATATGTGTGATCTTATCGCCTCCTGTCTTCCTCCACCTTCAGGACCTGTCCTGCATTGATGACCTCTCCACAAACTCTCTGTTCTCGTCTCCGGCTGACTCCCTGTCAGAGTATGCTGATGCCCAGTCCTTCATCAGCACAGACAACCTGGACTCAGTGCCACTGCCCACCCTCTGGGACGTCAACACTAGTACCACCACCACCACACCAGCACACAGCCAGCTAGAGGTCAGTGAAGCCACACACACACACACACACACACACACACACACACACACACACACACACACACACACACACACACACACACACACACACACACACACTCATCTTAGAACTGTTTCATCACTCATCACTTACATGTGTGCAGCAGGTCGGGACCAGACAGACATGCGGACATTAGCGTGCTCTGTTAGCATGCTCTGTTAGCATGCTCTGTTAGCATCAGTTCTGCTGTAACTGGGAGACAGAAAAAGCCAAAACCTCCAACGCTCAATCTTTGTTTCTACTGTGATAATTTTATTCCAACATAAAAAATTAGCCAACGACTTCTTGTGAAGTCAGTTTGTATAAAAGTGACGCTCACTAACTTGAAAGTGTCTTAGCTCTTCCGGATGGATCTTAGGCCCCGTTTCCACTTTGTGTTTTTTTTTTCTAAACGGCAGCATCTTTTTAAAAGAGTTTCCCTAATGAGTAGAGAGCGTTTGCAGCCACAGACGGCAGCCCGGGAAAATGGCGCAACGCAGTAATAAGTAACGGAGCAAGTGTCTGTCATACAGCGGCCGTTATCAACAGACTGTTGTCATGGAGACAGGACGGACGTGCAGCGCTTTTCTTTTCTTTTCAGTGCTTCATGCAAACGCCCCAGCGTGCACAGCCAGCGCTTTACTGCCCTGAAATAACGGCAGGAGGACACAAGGCCTAAGAATAGTAAAGATCTTCTCTTTTCAAGCTGCTTCATGGACTCTGAGATATCATCTGGGCGGAGTGGCTTTAAAACCGTGTTCTCTGTTTGTATTGAGTCCAGCAATATCTTCCTGATGAGAGTCAGAGTTTTTCTGTTGCTCCCGCCTCCTGAAAGCTTTTGATGTTTTACTTTTCATTCTGTCCTCATTTCATCGGTCATGTTTCCCAGACACGCACGGCTCTATCTGCCTTTTGTTGTCGCTGGCTTTTCACCACCAGACGACAGATTGCATTTTGTTGAGTGCTGGTTCATCAGACGTCCAGCGGCCTCACGCTGTCCTGCCCATAAAAACACTAGAGAACACACACACACACACACACACACACAGTGATTATCACTCATGTTTGTTTCTCTTTTTCTCATGTGTTTGGCACCGTTTTCATTTTTCTTTGTTGTTTTTTCATCTGATGTTTTGTTGACAGCTGAATGGCACCGGCAGGTTTCATGGCTTGGCCAGTTTGGATGATATAACTGCTATTATCAGCACCCCACCTTTAGGAGGATTCCAGGTAGCCACACCTATTCTTCAAATCTGATCTTCTAAAAAAACAAGTTCACTAACCAGTGGAGCAGAGGTAGTGAAGCACGTCGTGTTGTTAGAACTCGGGGCTTCAGTGCTGCTCTTCCTGCTCTGCGTTGTTTGCAACACGAGTCAAAGGTTTTATTGTTTGCACAGCAAAATAACCGCTAACATCAGATAGAGCGCTTCGTCTTTACAATCCATACACGATCGTATGTGGTGAGTGAAATAACAACGCTTATTGACCGTATATTAATATGGACAGTGCCTCCTTACGTTGTATGAAATGAAGCTAAAATATCCCCGGTGGGCGCTAATGTGTTGTGCTGGTGGAACTACGCAATTGACGGCAACATGCCAACCGAAGCACACGTTCAGATTATTATGTAAAAAAACAAAGAATCCACGGGTTGGTACGGCCTGAAGACAGAACAACTAACGTGGTCCAGAATGCCACAGGGAGCTGCATCCGTCATTTTGGAATTTGCACGTTTAGTCGACTACAAGGTTAATGTCATCACCCTCGCTCGTCGACTCCAGAATTACAAGTCGTTTTAACAAACAGTAATGTTTTTATAAGTCGGTCCAGCCATCGTCTCACTGTAGCTCTCCTCGCTCTGATGTAAACGAGCACAGTGAACAGTTAGCATCTCGTAGTAGCAGCATTGTTTGACAGTATTATGATCTAGAAATACAAAAAGGGTCTAAACTGTTAGTAGGCTGTGAGTTCAAACTGGAAGACTGGACCAAATATATACGTAAGACAGGCGTGGAGATGTTAGGGTGCAGAGAGGACCAAATGGCTGGTTGTGCTAGCATGGCTAACATTAGCCACATTCAGCTCGATTGTTTTCTTCCAATCAGACTTGTCTTGAGTTTAAATTTCCGTTTAACCAACCAGAAAATGTCACCACTTGTCGATCACGATGTTACATCCATTTTTCTATACATCAAATAATTACTGAAGACAAAACTGCTCCGAGACACGATCACCTGGATTAAAACTTTTTATACAGACTCCGTCTTTCTATTTTAACTTGACTGTTATCATGAAGGGGGCAGGGTTTATGACCTGCAGTCTGTCAGCAGGGGGACCGCTACTTATTTTGGCTTCACTCATATTCAGCTGTTGCCCGTCCATTTGAATATACAGTCTGTGGTATTAGCTCAGATGATGAAAACATTGCTTCACATTGCTGCATCGTCTCATTGGACAGTTATCAGAACACTTACTGGCTGTGATACCCTCAGATCATGTTTCCATGACTTTGTCTGATTAACTGGAGCACTAACTTAATGACTTTTTGCATCGGCTGCTTTGATTCACTCCTCTTTTATAATTGAACTGATTAACTGGTTACCATTTCATAACAAGGAACTCTATTGGTGCTAACAGTCGGACTAACTGCTCGCCTGCTTCTCACTCACTCCTGCCTCGTCTCTAACCCCGCTGACTTCTCAATGAGCTCATTTTTTAAAGTGAACAGCACAGTGAAGTGTCTTTGATGCTTTCAGGTTCAGAATACCCAGCCGCCGCCGCCGCCGCCACCGGCAGAGGAGGAAGAGGATGCCGAGGAAGAGGAGACAGAAGAACTGGGACATGTAGACACATATGCCGAGTACAGACCTTCCAAATGTAGGCTACTCAGACTCAACACTCACTAACATTCATCTCCCTGATATGAAAGGATGTATTCACATGTTGTTCTTTTCCTCTCCTCAGCCACAATAGGAATCTCTCATCCTGACATAGTGGTGGAGACAAACACGCTCTCCAGTGTCCCTCCTCCAGACATCACCTACACCTTGTCTATCCCCGAGTCGACCATTAACTGTGGCCACCTGTCTGCTCTGCAGCTGGAGGCCATCATCTACGCCTGCCAGGTAACGCTCACCAGCTCACACACACACACACACACAGGACGCAGAGAGCTCTGTGGACGAGTTCTGTTGAAACACGCAGGGCGTCTTTGTTCATGCCTTTTTCTTTCCCCCCGTGCTCCCCCTCAGCAACACGAGGTCATCCTTCAGAACAACCAGAGGGCGGGCTTCCTGATCGGAGACGGGGCGGGGGTCGGAAAGGGACGCACTGTGGCGGGAATCATCCTGGAGAACTACCTGAAGGGGAGGAAGAAATCACTGTGGTAAGAGAGATGATAGAGTATTAGAACCAGACTGTTCTGTCATTGGGTTTTCAATCATTTCTGTTTTGTTTTGGATCCTGTTGCATGCCAGGATATGTTGAGCATGTACACGCTTGGTTATGCAGGAACCTTCTGACTGACTGTGTGTTTCCTGTTCCTGCCCTCAGGTTCAGCATATCCAATGACCTGAAATTTGATGCAGAGAGAGATCTCAAAGACATAGATGCACTGAATATTCCTGTGCATGCCTTAAACAAGGTGAGTCCAGATGGAGTCAAAAAGTTTTCATTTCCTCCTGTGACTGTGGGAGTGAGAGAGTCACTGTTCCCACAAGAATACCCCCGTTATTTTTATATATTGTATATGTATGTATGTATATCCCCTCTGTTTCAGATTAAGTATGGAGACACAGCTACCTCAGAAGGAGTCCTGTTTGCAACTTACTCCGCGCTGATTGGAGAGAGCCAGGCAGGAGGGCAGCACCGGACCAGAATAAAACAGATACTCGATTGGTGCAAGCCCGACTTTGACGGCGTCGTATCCTTTCACTTGTGTTTTTTTAATGGATACACACACACACACACACACACAAACACACATACATCCAGTTTATAATTTCAGATTTTTTCAGAAGTTGGCTGTCAGTGTCTGCGGTTATTCCCCCTTGACCTTTCCCCACTTCAGATTATTTTCGATGAATGCCACAAAGCCAAGAATGCTACTTCTACAAAGATGGGCAAGGCGGTGCTCGACCTGCAAAACAAGCTGCCACGGGCCAGAGTGGTTTACGCCAGTGCCACAGGTAGGCCGACAAACAAACACACAGACTCAGAGTGAGTGAGTGAGTTACGCTCTGGGAAACGGGGACTCTCAAAATATTTATTCTCGCCTTCTCTTCTGCCCCCAGGTGCCTCTGAGCCAAAGAACATGATCTATATGAGCCGCCTGGGAATCTGGGGTGAGGGCACACCCTTCAGAGCCTTCGAGGACTTCCTGCACGCCATCGAGAAAAGGTTAGAAGCGCGTCACTCTGGAGTGTTTTTCTTTTTCCAAGTGCCTTTCAGTGATGTGGATTTGATCTCCAGATCGCTGTGCTCACTGGAAAAATTCCTTCCAATCAGCTTGTGGTTGTGTCTGGTTGGACCTTGGTCGAGTTTTGTTGAATAATTTATAAACTGTTTGTAAACAGAGGTGTGGGTGCCATGGAGATCGTTGCCATGGACATGAAAGTAAGCGGGATGTACATTGCCAGGCAGCTGAGCTTCTCAGGGGTTTCTTTCCACATCGAGGAGATCGGACTGGACAGTGACTTCAAACTGGTCTACAACAAAGCTGCCAAACTGGTGAGTGTGGTCCGTCTCATGTGCATCACTGTGTGAGCTTTTATAAAGTCATGTGACTGATCTGTAAACATGTTGTCCATCCAGTGGGCGGAGGCGTTGCAGGTGTTCATGCGCGCGGCTGATGAGCTGGGCCTGGTCAGCAGGAAGTCTCTGTGGGGGCAGTTCTGGTCATCTCACCAGCGCTTCTTCAAATACCTCTGCATCGCCGCCAAGGTCCGCTGCCTGGTGGAGCTGGCCAAAAAAGAACTGGAAGCTGGAAAGGTGAGCACAAGCCTTCAGTTTGAACTCTGAGCTCTGGTTTAGTGTTTGATTTAGGGCTGGAGTTATTGAATCAGACTCCATGATAGAGTGTTTACCTCAGGCCTGTGTGGTCGCTGACGTGTGTTTGAATCTCTCCTCCACAGTGCATCGTCATCGGACTGCAGTCTACAGGAGAGTCTCGCACCAGAGAAGTCCTAGATGAGAACGACGGGCACCTGGACAGATTTGTTTCTGCTGCAGAGTGAGTTGAAATGAAGACACATGGAGTACATGTTGTTAGAATAGTAGAAACTAAAATGACAGAGTGTCTTTACTGGTCACAGCGCTGTAAAGAACAGAGTGATTGACAGCTCTCTGATACCTTCTATACGGGTCTTGAAGACTGACGAATGATTGGCCAATCAGGAGGAGAAGTCATCCTCACAAAACTTTACGTTTAATAAAATAAAAAGTATTCAGAACATGCAGATTGAGTCACATTTAAAATGTGTAAATCAGTGTAGTGATGAAAGATACAACAGAAAACTCAAAGTACTTGGTACTTTTTCGATTTTCTGATTTTTTTTAAATTTTCAAATGTGTGAACACACACAAGGAGGAAAGAGGAAATTAGCACAACAATTTGAATATCATTTACAAACAGTCTGTATTTGGCGATCATGTTAGCACGCATACAAAGTGAAAAACAAAAACAAACAAATAACACCAAAAATCCTCACCATGTGTACAACCTATCCCACCAGTTTTATTTGACATCATTTTGTTACTATACTGCCCCCATGTTTTTCTTTGTCCTGTTTGCTCATTTACTTATACTTTCTAATTCATTCATTTTATTTACCGACCCTTTTCCTTTTGTTTTGTTTGTTTGTTTATTGTATTGTATTGTTTACTGTATCGTACCACAGTTTAAAAAAAAAAAAAAAAAGAACGCACATGTTCAGCTGCCTGTCAGCACATGACGGTTATAATGTCAAAATCAGGAATGTATAGATGATGTTACATCCACTGCTCCATGTCGTCTTTGTTGCTTTACTGTCAGATTTAAAGATGTTTTTTTCTCTCTCTCTCTTTTGTTTAGGGGAGTTTTTCAGTCGCTTGTTACAAAACATTTCCCATCAGAGAAACAGAGGAGAGAGAAGGCGCCGAGTAACAAGAGAAAACGTGAGTTCAAAGGTGATGTGGATGTTGCAGCGTGCCTGTTGTTTACCCTGAAGTCTCATTCAACAGTAACGGGAGCGGGATGTCTGCTCATATTTTTCAAATAGCAGTACTTGCAGTTGTGTTGGGTTGTTTTCTTTGAGTGTGCAATAACGTGCAAAGTGCTCCTGAGCCGTACCTTTCTTGTTTCTAAAGTCTTTTTTTTTTTGGCTCACAATCAGGGAAGCCAAGAGGTCGCCAGACGAAGGTCCCAAAGCACACCGTGGACAGCGGCGGCGTGATCAACATCAGCGATGACAGCAGTAGTGACTCCGATGGCATGGACACAGACTCCAACTCCTCCCCAGACTCCCTGCTGGACAACGATGATGTCATCTTTGTGAACCACACTAGCTGCCAGACGGGTAGGTTTATGTCGTCTTTTGGGAGCGATAAATGACGTTACGTGATGTTTCATGATTTCCAGCTAAGTTCGGACTTTAAAGGTGACATATCCTCCTCCTCTTCAACCAGTTTAAATAAGTCTCAGAGCTCCTCAAAACATGTGTGTGAAGTTTCTTGTTCTAAATCCACTCTGATCCTGTATTTGATCATGTCTATAATTATTTATATTTTAGCCCTGCTCAGAACAGGCTGTTTCTGTGTCTGTACCTTTAAATATGTAAATGAGCTGTGTCTGACCACGCCCCCTCTCTGGAAGGACTTGGGTGTCTCGGTCTTTCTCGCTCCATGTCCTATTGTTTATGGTGAGAAGGCAGACTCAGAAGGCAGAACAAACACCTAGCTGTGGAAGTGACACCCACCTGGGGGAGGGGCTACTGCCCTTTGTGATGTCATGAAGGGAAAATCTCCAAACGGCCTGTTTGAGCACACATTTTCTGAAAAGTGGAGCAGGCAAAAGACGGAGAGGATGGACTTTTCTCATCATTGGGGGGTTTGTAGACAGACTAGAGACACATGTTAGAGTTAGAGGAACATGGGGAAGTGGATTTTACATCATATGTGACTTTTAATCAAACCGACTAGAAAGACAAGCTTCCGCTCAGCGACCCTGTAACTTCTGTTTCTTGTTATTTGAAGGTCAAACAGTCACTATTCCCTCTTCTTCCTGTTCACAGCCAGGATAGAAGAGATGAAGCAGGGCCTCCTCAACAAAATCGCCGTGCTGGGAAAAGAACTACCTCTTAACACCCTGGACGAGCTCATTGATAAGTTCGGAGGACCAGACAAAGTCTCCGAGGTACAGGGCTAAGACAAAACCAAGCAGTGAGATATCTGAGGTCAAACAGTGTTCTGCTTTAAAGTGATACAACGTGATGAATGTTGGGTTTTTTTTTTTGCAGATGACTGGTCGTAAGGGGCGTGTGGTGCGGCGCCCTGACGGCAGCGTCCGATACGAGTCCCGCGCCGAGCAGGGTCTCACCATCGACCACATCAACATCAAGGAGAAAGATCGCTTCATGGGCGCAGAAAAGGTCCCGACACTCAGATCAGATCCATATTTTTGCTTCTTTAACTCTGTTGCCATGTCCACTAACACTCCCTAACCTCTCCGCTCCAGTTCGTGGCCATCATCTCGGAGGCAGCCAGCTCGGGGATCTCCCTGCAGGCGGACAAACGGGTGAAGAACCAGAGACGACGGGTCCACATGACCTTGGAGCTGCCATGGAGCGCAGACCGAGCCATTCAGCAGTTTGGTACGTCTGTTCTCTCACAACGAGGGGAGTCGAGACTCCGTCAGCTCGCTAACGTTAGTGTCCTGGAACGAGCAGGAAGTCAGGTGGAGGGGGGGACAGGTGTGAATCAGAGCCTCAAAGGTCACCAGGGTTTCATCTGTCGCTCATATTGAGCACAAGGAATACCGTTAAAGGGATGCTTCACCTGTTGAAACATAAATCTGTTTTGACATTGGATCATATATGTCGTAGAAATGTGAAATACATTTTGAAGTTGGTGCCTTCAGCGCCCGGCAGTCCCAGCGGCCAAAACACAAGACCGGCCTGTCGGCAGCAGCCGTCTCACCGCTATATTTATATTTTTTCACCATTATCAACTTTCCATAGAGCCTGTTAGCATAGCTTCTAAGCAATATGGCGGACGTTAAGCTTCGATTCTGGGAGTTAGTTCCCACCCACTGATCTGTGATTGGTCTGTAGCTTCAGTGGTCGAAGATATGAGGAACTAGCGTTGAAGTTTCTCACCGCTAACAGCTTCCAGTGATGCAAAAATGAAGATTTTTTTTTGTTGTCAGACTTAGAAATACAAAGATTTCACATCTCAGGGGAAAATGAGGGCGGGATGCACGACCATTCAAAAATACTACCAGGTTTCTAATGATACAAAGATTAATGCAAATGAGTGAAGTATCCCTTTAAGAACAAATGTTCTGAAAGCACTTTGAGTCCCTCTGGGGAGCGTTGTGTCTGAGCAGCTCGTACATATGAAACATGAAGACACAGAGACGTGCAGAAGAGCTCAGGTATAGACGAGGACCTAAAGGGAGACACCAGGGTTCAGCAGAGTGATTAGTAATCAACCAGACCAGATAAAAACCACCAATAAGCTGCTCCGGGTCGCACAGGAACGTGAGCGCCTTCCCCACATTCTCAGTAGCTCAGACTGTAGGGAATCAGGTTGGGGTACCGGAGGGTTGCTTGTTCAAGGGTTGCTTGGACCGAGTTCTGGAAATTGTTCTGGTAGCTGGAGAGGTGCCAGTTCACTTCCTGAGCACTGCCGAGGTGCCCTGGAGCAAACGATGGATTTTAACAAAGTACACACCCGCCGTCTCCTTTGAATCTCTTCCACTTTGAGTTTTATGACGTGTCACATTTTTCGTCCTTCAGGTCGCACCCATCGGTCCAATCAGGTGACGGCCCCGGAGTACATCTTCCTCATCTCGGAGTTGGCGGGGGAGAGACGTTTTGCCTCCATCGTGGCTAAAAGACTGGAGAGCCTGGTAAGTGTCTCATAGATGTGGACTGTAGACTGAGTGAATGTGTGAACGTGTGAAGTGTTCCTCTGTAAACTGACGGGATCTGTACTTTGTTTATTGATTGTTGGTGCTGCGGCTTGCCAAGGACTCAAACATGTGCATCCTCTCTTGCCCTCACAGCTTGTCCTCCCTGTTTCCCGGGGTATCTCCCCCCCCTCTCTGTTCTCCTTAACATCGATTTGTCTCCTCCAAACCTCGAGGGGTTCTGGGTCTTTCCCTCCTCCAGCTCAGCTGTGGAAAAATGTCTTTTAAGCAGAAAGAACAAGGAGCTCCTCTGGATGATTTATGAGTCGAGTCGTTTATTTTCCATCACTCTCATTAGTCTCAGTGCAGAGGGACACAGCACGGCCGCTCTTTTTGGGAAAAGGTCACTCAGTGGGACAGCACTTCCAGGAAGCCGTTCCTGTGTTCAGTGAATCTGTATCCATAAGAAGTCCTGCTCAGTACCTCCCCGCTTGAACTCAACACCACACAAACCTACTCAGCCAATCATAACGACATTCATCTGAGGCGTTGCTTTGTTTTGGTATCTCAAGGCATCATTCTGTGAGGGCGGAGCTAAAGTTAAATTTTGTTTTTGTTGTTTTTAATGAACTTTTTGCTCGGGGCCTGACTGATATGGGATTTTTGGTGCCAATACTGATATTTAGGGCCGATATCTTTCTTAGGTCGATGTTGGATCCGTAGAGATAGAGATGTATAGATAAACACTTTTATTGTGTTGATCCCTCAGTTATCAAACTCTTGTGGAAAAGATTTACAAAGAAGACAAGATGGCCGCTCCGCTGGAGAGTAACTGAGCATGAACGTGCATCACCGTTCCACACTCTGCAGAGTGATGATGTTTGTTGTAATCCATATAGCGCCCTCTGCTGGTGACACAGAACTGCTAGTGTAATACAATGAAACTCAAATTAGATGTTTGACTGGTGAATAAATCTAGAATCTATAAATCTATATATAGTCACTGATATGCTGATATCGACCAACATTATCAGCCGGTCGATTAATCGAACGGGCTCTACTTTTTGAGTTCTGAGTAAGAAGACTTCTTGAATCCAAAGGTTTTTCACACTAAACTCGTGATATTCTGAGGCTGAGCATCATGTGTGAACACAAACAGCTGAATGTTGATTGATATAAGATAAGATAATCCTTTATTTATTCCACAACGGGGAAATTTACAGAGTTACAGCAGCAAAGAGCAAAAAGTGAACACAGCACAATTTAAATAAAAAATAAAAATAAAAATGTTCAAAAAAAGAGAAACCACAATATAGATTAAAAATAGTAATTAGTCTCCTGCTGTGAAGTGCATGTGTGAACATTCAGATCAGGAGGATTTCTGACCTGCGGTGTGAAAGCGATGAGTCCGAAGTGTCGAAAAGCTGGAGTCCATATCAGTAATGATTCTGTGTGATCCACTTTGCAGGGCGCTCTAACGCACGGGGACCGGAGAGCCACAGAATCCAGAGACCTGAGCAAGTACAACTTTGAGAACAAGGTATGCCACGTTAAAGATTTCAGACTGTGTCCTGTCCTTTCAGAGTCGGTAGTACATCTCAGGGGGTCTCTTGTCTGAAAGCGTCCTGTCCCTCTCTTTTCAGTATGGTACCAAGGCTCTGGATAAGATCACCAAAGCAATCCTGGGCCACATAGAGAACAAGGTGCCCCCTCCCAAAGGCTACCCCGGGGGTGAAGCGCTGTTCTTCTCAGGTTTGTTCCAGCTGTTGTAACAGATCAGAAAACTGTTCAGCAGACTAGAGGAAGAGTGTGACAGTGAAATGTTCTCCCTGTGTTTCA